AAAACTGCTGTTCCATAGATTGTTGTTGGGAGTGGGGTGTCAGCGGAAATAACGTTGCAGTGCATGCTGGGGATTGTAGTGCTGCTGATTGTGAAATGGGCTGGAAAATCAAAATAATTGGAGGGCCGGATTGGGTTGTGCCCACGGGTCTTGTGTTTGATACATGGGCTGTAGAGGATACGTCAACTTGGTTAGAAAATCAACACAGATGGAATTAGATCAAGGGTGGACAAAGTTTTGGGCAGTGGGTGATATGGCAAAAATTTAATATCACTATACTTAAACAAATTTTCATGTCAATTCATCATGTCATGATATTTATCAGAACAGAGAAAAAAGAGCCAAAAAAACTATTAAAACTGTGAACACAGTGATTTTTACTCAGTATTTAGCACTGAATCCAGTTAAACTGGACTAACTCTGCTCTCTGTATAATGAAACATGCAGAAGACTGTCCCCGATTGGTCAGAAGGCTGTCCCCGATTGGTCAGAAGGCTGTCCCCGATTGGTCAGAAGGCTGTCCCCGTTTGGTCAGAAGGCTGTCCCCGTTTGGTCAGAAGGCTGTCCCCGATTGGTCCGAAGGCTGTCCCCGATTGGTCCGAAGGCTGTCCCCGATTGGTCAGAAGGCTGTTTCTGATTGGTCAGAAGGCTGTTTCTGATTGGTCAGAATGCTGTCCCTGGTTGGTCAGAAGCCTCTGTCTGGTTGGTCAGAAGCCTGTCCCTGAGTGGTCAGAAGCCTCTGTCTGATTGGTCAGAAGGCTGTCCCTGAGTGGTCAGAAGCCTCTGTCTGGTTGGTCAGAAGCCTGTCCCTGAGTGGTCAGAAGCCTCTGTCTGGTTGGTCAGAAGCCTGTCCCTGAGTGGTCAGAAGGCTGTCCCTGGTTGGTCAGAAGCCTGTCCCTGAGTGGTCAGAAGGCTGTCCCTGATTGGTCAGAAGCCTCTGTCTGATTCATCAGAAGCCTGTCCCTGGTTGGTCAGAAGCCTCTGTCTGATTCGTCAGAAGCCTGTCCCTGAGTGGTCAGAAGGCTGTCCCTGGTTGGTCAGAAGCCTATCTGAGTGGTCAGAAGGCTGTCCCTGGTTGGTCAGAAGCCTATCTGAGTGGTCAGAAGGCTGTCCCTGGTTGGTCAGAAGCCTATCTGAGTGGTCAGAAGGCTGTCCCTGATTGGCCCCAGGGTTGTTTATGATCTGATCCTGATCGTAACCCCCCCCGCAGGCTGAGTGCTGTATTGATGTAAGCTGGTAAAAAGTGGACGGCGGTCGTGAGAGAGCAGATCTCGCGTGTCTCTTCTGTTTCTGTGATTTGTTGATCTGTGACGTGGCGACTCCAGCGCTGTCATCCTGTGTTGATGTTTCCATCAAGCTGAGCGTGTCTGACCTTGGCGCTGTGCGAGGCTGTGGTCACAGGCAGGTTTTATATGTCACTGAGTTTGCTTTGCTTTGTGTTTACTCGAGTCTGTCCACCCATTGGAAGGCAGAACTGTACGACAAGGCTAAATTAACCCTTTACTGTCCATCTCTGAAGTGTCAGATGTTTATATGAGCTTGTCTGAGCAAAAATCTGCTGACATTTTTCAAAGTGATCCACCCAAATGGCTGAAAAGTGAGTTATCGCTTGATTTGTCATTGAATTCAGTCTCTTGGTCTTTTGGTAACGGTACAGTACAAAATCCAAGAAGTGATTGTAAATAAAAGTATTTAAATTACATGTAATTAAAAAAAACAGGTTCTGTTATATTTATTTAAGGTAGACTTATACAATTTTACTTTTGCGCTATGAAAATAGTATAATTGATATTCTGGTAACTGCACACATTGAATAAATGTTTAGATCGTGACTGACATTTCATTTCTGACTGAGGATGTGTTTAATGTGCTGTGGAATAGCAGGACATTCAGCTAAAATATTCTTCTCCATTTTAAACCAATCAGAAGAGGTTCTGTAACACTGTCTGTGTTTACATGCAAAGATTTCTGCCAATCTGATTGAATATGTTCAGATTATAGATCAAGACTGAGGTGTTTGTTCTCACTCTACACAACAATCTGATGGAAAATCTCCGTTTACATGCTCACTACAAAAAATCAGATCCAAAATTACACACCAAGAACTACTTAGCGTGGACGTTACCATGACAACCAGCCTCACTCTGAGTCCAGTCAGAGTGAGATGAGCAGCAGTGAGCAGTGCTTGTGTTTTTAACTGCTTTAAAATGATGTCAGACTCAGGAAAACGTCCTTCAGATGTCCTTATTAAAGGAGGCCGAGAGGAAGACGTCGTGTTCTGAGACACATAAGCTGGACGTCCGTCCCACCGCCGTCTTTTAAAGATCAGAGCATAAACTTCGTCTCCTCTGCAGACCAGTTTCTGCTTCGCCATGTTGAACGGTATAAACTTTCACTACGACGCGACGAACATGATCAGAACGGACTTAAACTTTCCGATAGGGAATGTAATCAGATACAGGCGTTTACACGGATATTATTCTTCTATTTAACGGATTATTTACAGGATTTCCGACTGAGGTGTCTACACAGACGTATTCTATTCCGATTGAGCTATTAGTATGATTATTAACGGATTATCAGGCTGCATGTAAATGTGGCTGTTTTCCCTCATCAGACTGAGTTTATCTGTTGGCTGTGAAGGGATTAAAACAAACCCTCTGATGTGAATCTGGGTGGGTAACATTAAACGCAAATATCTGCAAGTTATATTGATTGATTTCTCATTAGAGTTGTCATTCTTATATTATAAATACACCCAGCTCATAATTGTCTCTCCACACCTTTTTAAGCGCTGATGATCAGATAAAGCGTAATGTTTGTGTACAGACGCTCCGAGCCGTGTGGACGCCTCTATTTTAGCAGGACGCTGCCTGGCAACGCTTGTTTTTATGTAAATACAGCTGGCATCTCTGCCCCTGATTAGAGCTGCACACATAATGCACATCTTAACCTGGAGCTCCTCTGGGCTTCCATCAGCGTCTGCTGAGCTGATAGAGCCGTCATGTACTTTAAAGCTGTATTTTGGACAAAACACTAAATTACGGTTCTGACGTGATCTGAATGACAATTTTTAGATCAGACAACGAGCATCGCTCACCAAAAACCGATGAGAAAGAGACTAAATGTGTGTCTGCCGGGGTGTCGCAGACCTTGTCGCGTACACCAAAAAATCTGAAAGGGTGCAGACGCTGTCGCGCCCTCTGATGGTGAAATGGTTCTTCAGATTGATGTTGAGTTTGGTTCTATATAACACCAAAAAAGGTTCTTCTATTGCTGCAGGCTTGATGTTGTGTGCCTTCAAAGAGGGGGGCAATTATTTATTATCACCCACCCCTAATTCTTCAGTGATATGGAGCTGAAGTCAGATATTCACCAGATTCTTGTTCAAATTTTCCCGTTCCACCTTAAATGGAGCAGCAGTTACATTCTGGCTTCAGTCGTCAGAACTGCTGGACTATTTAAGGTGGAACGGGAAAGTTAGCTAGCTAGCTACCGAGACATTAGCATGCTATTAGCGATTTTTTTATGCTTGTTATGAAGAAAACGAGCAAAATACACTGAAACTACATTAAACTAAGAGAATACAGTGGTTATTATCATTTTTAACTGAGAAAATTCTCACGTTTGTGTGTTGTTCAGCCATCTCGTCGGTTTTTGTTTTTTTCTCATAACTCTCAGTTTGGAGGGTCATGTAGCCCCAACACTTCACCCCACCCCTCTATCTCAACAAGAATCAGGACACCTTAACCCTAGACGAGAACACGCAAAACAGAGGGCTAAGGGCTGAGTGGCAGGGCCGAGGGGTGAAATGGGACTGGGCCTTAATTTGGGTAGTTGTAACTGTGTTGCCTTGCTAAGATCAGATAGATCGTATTCGCAAAACCTGGAATAAGCGTCCGGCATCTGTATTGTTACAGCACTGTGTGAGCAGTCAGTGATCAGAGGTGTTGATCTGGACCAAATCGATAAGTTGTAACACCAGTCCCGTCAGCACCAGCTGATCGTCTTCACTTGCTCAGGTTTGAGTCATTAACGTGTGCTTCAATTAGCCGGAGTTGGTATCATGCTATCTAAGCTAATGCTGACCAGTGTCTCTTTCTTAGTTAGCTGCGCATGAACATACGCTGAACATTTTTCAGTTGTTAGGTGAATGTTTGGACATTTACTGAATGATGCTTTGAAAATCGTGCACTGCGTTCACTTATTTGGTGAAAGTTTAAGCAAGTTAAACTTTGTATTTGATTAGTGAAACAAAGGATGAGAACACAAAAATGATTATTTCTCCAATAAGGATGATATTAGTCGTTACAGCACT